TGTTTTAGAATTAAATTGTTACACACCATGAGAATCTCATTTTGGATTTTCCAACTAACATATAGTGCATGTTTAGCACTATTTTGTGGATGATCTTCAAGAATCGCCAGAATCTACTCTAAACCTTAATAATTGTCTGAAATTTCCGTCATTATCATCATTAGTAACAGCCAATTCAGTACTTGTGTCATTTTGATTAATAAGTGGTTTATTTTCCCGATGACCTCTAAGTGCGATTCCCTGTCTACCACAAAATATAACGGTTTTAATTATTGGTAGAATGCATTTCCTATTTTTTTTTTCTATTTCTTTTTAGTTACTACGATTTATAACTTTTAACGTTGCAAAATTCAAAATTGTAATTTATATTACGCACCACGCCACCACGGTCTTAGAACATTCAAACATTTGAAACATTTTATCTTTTCACGCACACCGGCATCATATTGTGATACCATGAGTGATACCACAAAAAAGTATTATACGATCGACTATCGAGAATCATAGTTGCAAGGAAATTGAACGTAACCACGGACTAAGATAAACAGGACTGGAAACGAGATAGTCATCTATGGAACTACAGTGTAACGCTTCTGGTACAAGTGCGATTTTAACGCCATCTATGATCCGTTCTACGAAATATTAATACATCAGTGTCCAGCACGAATTAAGATATTGGCATTTGAAATTGCTTCATTTCAAGCAGGTAAATTAACCACATCTTTTGAACTTTTAAATAAAGTGTATTTTTTTCTCTCTGAACATCCAGTACAGCCATCCACAGAGCATTTTCTCGGCATTTTAGCGAATAATAAATGGATAATATAGTTGGTAAAATGTAATGTACATTAAATACTAAATGCTAATACCTAAGAGCCAGTGGCGTATTTACGGGGGGGGGGGTCCCCGGGTCTCGACCCCCCCAGAAAAAAATATAATATAATATAATTATTACATCATAACTCGTATGTGTTTTTTTTATATTATAAACTTGTAGGTACCTAATATTTCGCGGAAGTAATGCGAAAGCTGTTCCCGCGACGCCGTCGGTTCAAACTGAAAAAAAAAAAAAAAAAAAAAAAGGTACCTAAGGCCCCCACAAAAAATTTGAAAATACGCCACTGCTAAGAGCTAATAGGTGCGTATAAATCACGGACTAAGATAGAGTCACAATAGAGTTATCTTAGTTTATCTTAGTCCGTGGTATAAAATATGTATTAAACTATTGTACCTAATTTTATTATAAACAGAAATAATATGCAAATAAATATATGTGTAACAAATGCTAAATATTATCAATAGATAGAGCCACATTTGTCCATGTACTACAAGCGTTACACTATGGTTCCGGCTACCCGCACTCCTCCCGTCTATCGTTTCCAGTCCTGTTTATCTTAGTCCGTGAACGTAACTCATGTTATATCACGGAATTCATGTTATATCATTGTTATCAATTATAATACGAACGAATCACGGTTATATATTTACAACCATAAACTAACTGCAACCGTGATATGAACATAATACCTTATACTGAGTATGATGTCTATCGTCTATGGATACGAATAATATTAATATTTCATATCAATCAGCCGTTTCGCGTGTGCAAGATAAACATTTTTTTTCCTACGTAGAATTTGTAAAAACATCAGAAAAATTTCGGGGAGGGTCACAACCCCCAAACCCCCCCCCTGGTTGCGCCACTGTATATTATATACCATATGTATACAATAATTTAACAATGCAATTCAATAAAAGAACAAAATACATATCTTTTAATAAAAATCATAAAAATTAAATAGCATAATATAATAATAAAAACCTTAACTTAACTTTTTAATAATTAAAATCATAACAATGCATATTACTTTCTTGATTTTTCATCAAGTAAGTATGGTAATTGAAATGAAAAAAGTCTGAACTTTGAAAACTTCAAGAATTTGTGTTAAATAGGAAAATAATAAAAATGTAACTCAGTAATGATGAATAGGTGGGTAATTTAGCTAGCTTTAATATAAAATATTAATAAGAGAGATTTTATATCACACCCAAGCGGTATACCCAATTTGAATCGATAAAAACATTCGAGTGAACAGTCCCAAAATTTCTATTTTTTTAACTTTTATCCTAAACTATGATACCTAGCTAGAAATTTGGTTGATAACTCATTAAAAAGGGATTATCAGGTAGACACTAAATGTGGAATTAAATTTTTTTTTTTAAATTATTTAATTTTTCACAGATAAAAAAAAAAAAAGAGTTATTTTCTCTAGATTTTCATTTAGAGATGTAGATCTCCGAAACTGGAGAACGGATTTTGTTGTTTGGGGTCTTGTTAAATTCACATTTACTAGGAGAATTGCAGTGAAGATTTTCAGAACTTTATCTAAAATCGTTAATTCATTACAAAGCTGTAAAGATGAAAAACATTAAAAAACGCCCAATAAAATTTGTTTTAATTTATTTTAATGTTCTGTAGTGAATTAACTATTAAAGATAAAGTTGTGCAAATCTTCACTGCACTTCTCCTAACCAATGTGAATCTAACAAGACCAAAATCATCGAAATCCGCTGTCCGGTTTCGGAGATCTATCTCACTAAATGAAAATGAAAATGATTTTTTGTGGGGCTGTTCATGCCGACATTTTTCTGGATTCATATTGTTTGACCGCTTGGGTGTGATTAAATCAGTTAAAAAAATTTCTAAAAATTCAAAATCAAGAAAGTTTACATGCCGATCCCTGACTTGGCCATTTTTGTTTTGTAGACCGAAGTGCACACACGTTCAAATCGTAGTGCACACTTGTATATTCGTAGTGCACATTGTGTGTCGTGGTGCACATAAAAATAGGGCCTGGTACCAGTGGCGGATCCAGAGGGGGGTGCTAGGGTGCTATAGCACCCCCCTTGGCATGTTGCTACCTGGTTAAAAACAAATACTATATACTATACATATTTTTCAGTGGGCCGGGTACGTTATACTAAATCGGTAACAAAATAAATAATATTATTTTTTTTTTTATAAATAATTTTTCCCTCAACAATTGAGATAAGTGATAACCAGAAGTGACTGAAAAATGGAACGATACAACTATAAATAAATATTGTTCTATGATACAACCCACGGGTCACGGGTATCAGACATGAATATTGGGTCTTATATCTTACTGTTTAAATCATAGATATTTTCCACGATGTAGATAATATTATCTAGTAGTTACACAGAATAGAATAATAGTTATCACTAGTGTTATCACCGAATACCGATTATACTATTTTAAATCCACGGTATTATTATAAATAATAATTTTGTCTATTACTTTAATCAGTGGCGTACCTATGTACAAATTATTTTCATAATGGGCCAATTTATCACTAGTTAGCATAGTGAGACTAACATAGCCATAACTAAACATTTTTTAAGGAGCTTGGTGGTTATAAATACAAATAAAAATTGAGCAATTCAATTTTATAATTATTATGTAAAATTCATTTTTAATTCTTTTTTAAAAAATATTGACAATTTCATATATAAATAATATATATTTTAATGTTATCTTATTGTGAATTTAACACAAAAGTCATCAAAGCAAGTCCAGACAATCTAACATTTCCTTGTTGATTCCTCATAACGATTTTAATTAACCGGTTAAATTAATCATGGTGAAAAACTGTAAACACGTTTGATATACATGAAATGGTTTAATTGAACCTGCAATTTAACTATGGGCTCTGGCCTAGGGAGCCTATATACGCCACTGACTTTAATACTTTGTTATTATACATTTAAAAATTATAGATATTTTAAGTAGTTGACACCTTCGCTTGGAAAAAAAAAAGGAGGATGGAATTAGAAGATTGGTCAAAATGTCCTAATCATTTTAATTTGTTTTTTGTCAATCAATTATTAAGAAATAAAAATACAATAAGTGGATGTGATATAATTTAAATTTATTGTTTACATTTTTATGTTTTATTTTTTTTTTAAATAAAGATATTTGTTTTAGATGTACTTTTAAAGTTTTCACTTATCTTTATCCTTTTAAATATTCAGCAATGTGCTTTATGTGCAATTGCCAATTAGGACTAAAAAAATGTCATGCCATCAGGATGTAGTATACAGAAAACAATATTATACCTTAACCTAAGCACCCCCCATAAAAAAATCCTAGATCCGCCCCTGCCTGGTACCTACCTACTTATTCAATAATAATAAAGAATATATTTTTAGTTTAATTTTAATCGAATAAACAGAAATGTACTCTGAATATATTCGTTGAAAAGTATTCCTTAAGGCGGGATCCCACGACTCGTGTATTTGACGAATATCCACGAATACTCGAATAATCGGCAAGTTACTGACAATCGGCGGGAAGGTGGCAAATAAAGAATAACGTGTACCGAATACCGAATATTCGTACAAGTACTCCATTCCCACTACTCGGCGAATATCCACAAATACTAAATATTCGTCAAATACACGAGTCGTGGGATCCCGCCTTACAAGACTAAGGTATATGGGTACTGCATAAAAGTATATCCATAGGCACAATTTGTGGGGTGCTTATTGATAGCATCATTGAATTTGTATTGACTATAATATTATGCCATTTTTCATAATAATAATACATGTATTAACTATGCATAGGTACTTATCAGAATAATATTATGTATAAAAGTTTATTATGTTATAGGTAATTTTTTAATTGTTTATATTAAGATCAATGCGAAGGTGTAAAAAATTAAGTTGTACGAAAGGAGGGGGGTGTCGGGGGCAGAGCCCCCACTGACCACTTAAGTCGACATAAATCTAGCACCCCCAATCACCATAAATTTAAGCCAAATTGCGGCCATGAGTATACCTATACATTATATAGTGCATACATAATATTGGTTATATAGGGGAGAGGCTATTTTAATACATCTTATGACGCGCTATACCAAGTACGACACTGTTATCACTGTTATCATAACTGTTATATCACGTTGTTATTGTTTAGGCCATCGACGTGCGCAAAGATAGCTGCGTGCTGTTCACCAACCGGGCGCTGACCAAGATCAATTTGGGTCTGATGGACGAAGTCGTCAGCGATTGCGATCGAGCGTTGCGCCTCAACGATCGATCGCTGAACGCCGTCCTTTACAAGGCTGAAGCATTATGGGGGTTGGACGATACCAGAGCTGCCGAGGATTTGCTACAGACCGCACTCAAAACTCACCCCGATCAGACGAAACGCATACAAGGTAAGCACCTTATAGCAGCCGGATGACTCTTAATTATTATAGGCACTGCAGAACTCTCATTACCTCAAAGAGTATAACCAAACTTTTCTTTAGAAAACCTTCTTTATTCAGTGGATTTAGACGCACACACGATTCCAACTTTATTACACTATATTCGTGAAATCGTGAGCTAATGTTAGTGGCAAAATCACTATCAAATATTTTGAACGGAAACCTGCTTTATATCATTGGAGCTACAGACGTCAGAGTTAAATATTTGAACAAACAAATTGTTTATACTTTATTGTTATTATTATTATTAGGCCTATTTTCACGTGGTTATTAGCATAGTTTATTTGTTCAGTACAAAGTCCAATGGGAGCGGAGGCAATATAATAATATAATATAATATAATATACGTTATTTATCGAATTGAGTGGTTATAATGTACGTTATTTTAATTTTGAGATGTGATTGAGCATGGCAATTCTTTCAGGCCTACCGTTTTTCTTAAATGGAAATCATAGTTCTTGATTTGCGTACGTTCCAGAGCAGAACATATTTCCAAAAATATTGATCCATGTTTTTGAAAAATATGAATTTAATGATCCTAACCAATTATTGCGGCGCTGACTTGTTATATCAAATGTAAAGGAATTGAATAGACATAATATAATATCATGAACTGTTGTTTATTCCGAAATCCTCTTATCTAAACTTTAAATGATTATTTTTATTAATCAACTAGCCACTAGGTATAATATAGATAGGACTTGAAGCTAATTAATACAAAAAAAAAAAAATGGAAAATAACAAAAACGAGCAAAACTAATATAATGTAATAGCATATTAAGATACAATATATAAAAAGTATATGACTCACTATAATATTTTTTCTCATTTCTGTTTTTGTATAGACTACCGAAATAAACTGAGCTGCAGTCGTTAATACCCATGCTGTAAATCCTTCGCCACCTTCATGCACATCATCATGCACAAATGCAGTGGGTATACCATAATATATATTATACGTTTTGGGCGTTTTGGCGAGTCTTCGTTTTTGCATAAACTATCGTGTCAAGCATTATACAATAATATACAATAATTATTTAAATGATTATACAATCAACAACAAGAATTATTCGTATTATAATATAGCACGTACTTTATTCCTGCGGTTCACAAACATACGCATAATAACGCGTATAGCTTACAATCTAACCTAACCTAAAAGGTGATTCTCTTATCCCTAAACAGTTTTTTTTACAGTAAACTTTTGTTTAAAAAAAAATAATAAATACGTTTTTATATACTGTTTGTATATCATCATAATATAATTCTTTAAGTTTTTTGCTTTTTAATTGACAATGGAGGTGTTAGTAAAAACTAAAAAGTACCTATATTTTTTTTTCAAAAGTGTTGTATAACACAATTTAAATTATGTAAACATTTTTTTTTTCAAAAACAAGGATTATTACAGATAAAAGAAGAATATCACTGTGTACAACATATTATTATGCGCAATATGTACCTATACATAGCGTGTAAAATCTATGAATATATTTTATTACAATATTATTATATATTATTATGGTTATGCGTGTCTGTGAACCGTTTAAAATGCGGACAGCCAGAAAATAATGGCGTAAGTATACCTACAGGTACCTCGCCCACAGTATATATATATAGTGCCAAATATAGCGACAGATATTTGTATAATATTAATGTAAGTTATTATAATATCACCGTCAGACAATGCCAGTACATGCATATATCGTAATTTTGGCGTTATCGAGATAATATAATTTAGAGTGGCAGTGGGTTAGGTCCAGGATCACGACCTTCGAATACTATTTTTTATTGTCTTACATTAAGGTGGGTATACCTATTACTATACATATATGTACTTATTTCCGTCGTAGACGTGGCTTTTAGATTCAAAGTTGAGCGATGGTTGTATTGTTTAATAATAATGGTGTGTGTTGTTTTTTTTTTATATATCATCACCTTCTGACTTCTGTCCTTTTCAATCTTTAACTTTGAAGTGGTTTTTTGTTAGGTAACAAATTGAATTTGTTTGATATATTTTCGGATGGTCAAAATTAAAAATGTTCAGTAGGTACTTATCCTTTTCAAAATAATCTGGAAAAACCAAAAACATCGATTATTGTGTATTGTATTATACAATTTACGAATAAATCAACAAGAAAGTCCATTACAATTTTTTCCTTTATCCATATAATGTTATTTTATTATAAACTATACCTACATTAATATCGTTAAAAAAATGACTCATTTGAATTATTAGTGGCGTTATTAATTTAAGCATGGTGATACTCGACGAAGATGTCATCATTATACGTTGGACGAACAATTTATAAAGTAAATGTAATTACAATAATAATAGTTGTAATAGCTATATAATATAACTGAGATTCCCAAACTGTGAGACGCAATTATACGTTTGGTTGGTCACGTAATGTTTTGAAATATATATTTAATTTTTATAATGTATAATATATATTGTATATCATTATGTTACTATAAAAATAAATACCTATATTATATTTCATGTTAAATACGAGTATATTATGATATAGTATTTTCATTGTAACTATATTGTACATGTATTACTTTGGTATAAATATATAGTTTAGTTCCTGTGTGATAATTGAATTGTTTTATCATTATAAGTGACGATTATGAGTTTAATACCAGTGACGTTCTGTGTGTCACCACAACGCTGACGCACTAAAAGTTAACTCGAAGATCACAATCATCGATGAAACTGTGGGTCGCTAAAATTAAAAAAAATAGTCCAAAATGGGTAGTACCGTAAAAAGTTTGGGAACCTCTGCGATATAATGTACATTATTGCAGCAATCGTACATCGCAGTGGTCACTAAATCAGAGGCCCACGGATTCATACACCAAATTTCATGCAGTTAGTTGAGAGCAATACCTGCTATTTTTCCAAACAATTTTAACCTAATTTTCTTTTATATTAAAATTATTATAAATTTGTATTTCCACTAGGCCACTATGTTAGGTTAGGTTAGGGTTAGGAATTAGATAATCACATGGGAACTACGTAAACAGCTGAAATTATACGAAAGTAATAAATGCACAATATATAGTTACACACTTACACGGAAAATACTGTATCATATACTATAATATTATGTATTTATATTTTATACGTTATGAAATATATATTTTATTTTTATATATTATTATATTTGGGGCAATGCCAAAAAATCCAACACTAATAAAATTCAAACATGGAAGTGATTAATTAATTTATTATTCTTATTACTTCACTTGTAAAAGTTTTATATTTATGAACTTTAGTTTATTTAATATACATTCTACATTTCTACATACCTAATACATTTACCGTACTGATGATTAAATACCCTAAATTTACAAATTATAAACACTACATGTCTACATTTTGTGTCGAGGTGAACATGTCTGCAAGTCTTGTGTTATTTTAAGGGTTGACTATGCCGTCTTCGTTTCCATTGCCAAAATAACCTTAACTATAATCATACATACATAGCTGTTGCGGAAAATTGTTTCCCTCGATAAAAATGTATTCAATAAATAACAATTATTATCATTGAAACATAAACTAAAATCCAAAGGTGGGCATTAACTAGTTGAAAAGTTAAAGTTCAGTTAAAAAGTTAATTTTTTTTAACTTTTTAACTTAACTAGTTAGTTTATTTTCTAATCAACTTATGAACTTAAATAGTTTAATTTACAATTGAAATAACTTAGCTTTTCTCAGTTGATTTAAAAAAATCCATTAAGTTAAAACATTTTGAAATTGTTCGTTTATACTTAAATATTACGAATTTTTGTCATAAAAATTTTATTTGACTTTCTTATAGACATTTTTTTTTTGATAAAGGTAGATAATCTTATAAGGAATCTTGTATTACATTTTCAAATCTTAGATTTAAAAAGAAAAAATTTTAAGAATTCTTAACTCAAAATAATTTGCTAATTTTCGTGATTTTTCCATATTTTGTCAATTTTTGAATTTTAAATGCTTATAAAAAAAAATTGTGGCTAAAGATTTTTAATATTTTTCATTTGCCTTTGAAACAATATACTAATAGCCCTCTATTTAATTTTCAAGCTTTTTTAACCAACAAATACAATTTTATTGATATTTTTAGAAAAAAATCTAAAAAAATATGGAAAATGAAAATGTTCCTAAACAGTTCAAAATAAATCAAAATATTTTGAAAATGTTATCGTGTATAGAGAATGCTAATATAAGCATTCAGTCAACATTTTATGTATCTACGGTCATTTATTTAAGGGTTGCACCAAAACCAAAATTATTTTTTTCGAAAACAGATTGTGTGTAAAAATTCCCGTTCTATTTTAATTTTTCTTTTGTTATTCACGGAACTTTTGAAAACTACTAAAAAAATTATACTTTTGACTCCCCAAAGTACCAAAATTCCATTAGATGGATAATTAAGAACGTTTGGATGTATTTTATAAGGATTTCGCAGAATTTCTGGCAGGGTAGTCATACATAAGTACATAACACATTAACACACACACATATTAGTATGTTACGTATATATATTCATATTCACATCTAAGTTATTAAATTAATTTGGATGGGGTAACCTCGTTTAACTACATTTACGATAGTAAAAAAGTATTTTATGATTGACTATCAATTATCATGATAATAATAATGAATATTGAGGGGGGGGGAAGTTCGCAGAGTAGTCAAGTGCCTACTGGTTGGTACTTTGGGGGGTCAAAAATAAAAATTTCCCAGTAGTTTTCAAAAGCACCGTGAAAAACAAAAGAAATATCTATTATTAATATTATTTGAATTATTATGAGTATTTGATCTATAAAAATCCAATTTTGGACAAGTAATTTATTACCTAGTACCTGGTTCCTAACACTTATAAATATTTTAATTTTTAAGAAATTGTTGTTTTTAGTGACTTAAAATGGTGTAAAAAAACGTTCAAAGCTTATGAAATAATTAGTGCCTTACATTAAAATTAATATTTAATATCCAATAAATTGTCATATTATATAACATATTATATATAACTAGTATAGGTACTCGTATTGAACACGTTACAAATACTTTATTTCTATTGATAATATATCATGCCCTATAGTGGGCTCTGTGCAATAACATATATGTATAATATACAGCATAATATATATTTTGTTAGCTAGTTAGCTAATATTATTATAGAATAAACATAATACTGATAACAATACAATCTGAATGAGCGCCACTCACAGCAAGATTGACAAGGATTCTAAATGGCAAAACTATACTCTAATATAGAACATTCTAAAGAAAAATATAAAATTACTAAGCAAATTGGAGAAATTCAAATCCACGGAGAGCTTTATTACACATCGTTTTTCTCGTAAAATCGCAGGGCTATTGATTTTTTCGATGTAACTTGTTGTTACATTTTTTAGTCATTGATCAAAATCTTAAAAATTCAATAATATCAAATAAAACCAAATAAATTACGTAACAATAATAACGTCTATTAGTATAAATACTAAATGTAGGTACACAAGATTACGGAAATATAGCCATATATTTTATAATTTATAGGTAGGTATCATCTTTTTACATAAATACTTCTTTTGATCCAGGGCTAGAATTCTGACCGCAGGGCAGAAGTAACCTCTGTCAGCTACTGCAGATCATTGACTTTCCACATAGTGGCTTTTAAACGTCGCTGCAGTCTTGGCTCCCTCCCCTCTCGCCTTTATTACGCCTGTGTAATACGCCAAGGTGAGCTTTTGTCCTGAGTTCACAGCTCTTTTGTGTCCAGCTAGACGCCGTTTTGTTCGCCGGACACTTTGAACAAATCCTCCGTTTAGGCTCGCCTTTTTTTGGCGTTCGCCTGGCAGACATTTTTTTGTCCTCTCGTT